AGTATGTTATCTGCTTATAAAATGCTCCAGATACTACACAGCATCACCAAACAGCTGTTTGCAATTCTGAGAATCTGAATAGGTCAAAACTGCAGTTAAACTGAAGTATCCATAGTAAATATATTATTTTACTAACTCTCTGTGTGCAGATTCATGCATCTAATGTGCCCTGAACAGAAATTTGTACGCACTTTATCTATATGAGTTCTGAAAAACTGATTCTATTCGCCCAGTTTTATTTTGGAAGCTTGATATGATACTATTTCTAGGAGTGATATTTTCAATCTACACTGTTTCTGCTACATTTGTTATTCATAGCAACAGTTACCATTTGACTCTGCTAAAGATTGCCCTGTATTTTACTTAGAAAAGTATTACTCTTCCTAATACAAGATATTCTTGTGTTTCTGTAAGCATACTATAGGAAATGTAGGTCTTGAATGATTTTCATCAACTAAACCGGCACAAAGATTTTTTTTTTTTTTTAACATCATTGGTAGTTTTACTTTAAAGCAGGCTGTATGGCATAAGCAATGATAGCAGGTGGAAAATTGAAGAGGGAAACATGATTCGAGTTCTGGTTTGACTTATTGAGACATTGGCAATTGTACTGTGGAGTTAGGATAATTTCTTTCTCCCAGTTTCCATGGGCTCCTCACTGTCATCTTCTTCATCTCCCTGCTCTACCACTATTGAGGAATGACTGAATTTGGTAGCGGTTTCAGAATTTATAGCAGTATTACTGGGCCATAATGATTAATGAATTTTTTAAAATACAGAGAAACTTAGGAAGAGTTTAAAGCACTGATTCGAGGAAAAGTAAGTAGAATCAAGAAAGCAGTCTATCCAGTAAATAAAATAATGGAAATGGAGAAAACAAAATATTGAACCTAAAACTGGAAGTCATGCAAATTATAACAACCACACCTACCTCCGAAGAAGAGATGAAAAGATGTACCCCTTTCCTTCTTTGTGAGGTGGGGACTGAGTGCAGAACTGTATGTGGACATAGGCAGGTGTAGTTAATCTGTTGAGTAGTTTTACTCAACTGCTTGTTGTTTTGTATTCTTTGTTTCAAGGAAGGATTCGCTGGAGAGGAGAGGAAATATTTGGAAATGAAAGTGATAAAAACAAAATTTTAAAAAGATTTTTGAAAAAATTGGATGGGAGATAAACAGGAATACTTATATGCACAGGACAGGTATAGTTAGTGCCAGTTATTCATACCCTAAGCCTATCATAGGATTTGTTCCTGTGCATTGTCCTCCATACTGGTCCTTCATGCAAATGGGGAGGCCTGAGAACCAAAAAGGTTTCGTTATTTGCTTTAGGTGATAGAACTAGGTAGTGTCAGAACCAGGGCTAGAAGGCAGATCAGTTGACTCCTCATCTAATTATTTTTGTATTGTATAATAACACATAAACCTCTTACCATGTAAGGGAATTTGTAGAGCCAGACTATATACAGTTGGATGAATAATTCAAGTTACTTAGTTGTCTTGGCCTGGGTTTAATGCATTAAACGTTTGCTTCCAGCTTCTCCATGGTTTCATTTCCCCTTTCTAACCAGTATGGAAGATACCCTGTCTTCCTATCCTCTATTTATCCCTGACCCTTTTGGAGAGAAAGGAAAATCTTGTTCTTTTCTTACTTGTCTACCCTACTTTTATCACCAGGACTTGGCTGAGCATTTTCAGCCTCATATGTCCCTGGAAAATGAGTCTCCTGTACCTCTCCACACTCCCTCTCCCCTCATACATCTTCTTTTGAGCTTCAGGTCAACACTTTCCTTCTAAAAGCTGATTGACTGGCCAGAGCAGGGAATGCTCCCATTGATTTTCCTAACAGAAATTTCCTAAGAACCTTACTCCCTTCTTCTCCCTGTCCCCAATTCTAATCCTACAGGTATACCTTTCTCAGTTTAGTTTGCCTTGACCAAATTCCCCATCTTGTTGTCTCTCTGTCTCTCTCTTTCTCTGTCTCTCTCTTTCTCTCCCCCTCTCCTTTCCCATAATTACCTTAAATGATTTAACAATTTGGTTGATTCCCTTACATGTTGTCACTTGACCAGATTTGCTATACTATGTCCTGTTCTACATATCTCATTTTAGGGAGGTTACAATATTGACAAGCTGCAGAATATTGAGTAGATGGTAACAAGGATTCATAATCATAACTAATGAGGATTGGTTGAAGGAATTCCACCTATTTTAACTTGGTTAATGCATATAGGAGGCACATGACAGATACCCTCAAATATTGGAAGGTTTGCCCTTTAGGAAAGGGGTTCAGTTTGTTCCATTTTGGCCATACTAGGAGAACCTAGAACTAAAAGGTAGAAGTTTCTGTGATTATCATAACTTACCTTCCCTTTCCCAGTCATCCATTCCTAACTCTGGACCAGCAGAAGGGAGCTAGGTGAGGGAGAGTATTGGTAGGATCAGGAGAGAGTTTGGTGGGAAAATAACACTTTAACTATCTAACTCCACAAATTGTTGATTGAGGAAAGTCCTTTGTAAGACTTAAGCAATTATACAAATGTGATTTCTTGGCAAAACTGCATGTAAAATTTACCCATTGGTATCAAAATTAAAATACTTTATATTGGTTTGAAGCCACAAAAAATTGCATTTGATTGCATTTGATAATTTATACACAAACACATGGGACAGTTAGGTGGCGCTGTGGATAGAGTGCCAGTCCTGGAGGCAGGAGGACCAGAGTTCAAATCCATACTCTGTTAGTTACTAGTTGTATGACCCTGGGCAAGTCACTTAACCCCATCGTAGTTCCTCGTCTGTAAAATGAGCTAGAGAAGAAAAAGGGCAAACCACCCTAGTATCTTTGCCAAAGAAACCCCAAATGGTGTCATGGAAAGTCAGGCACTACTAGAAAGACTCAACAGCAACAACACAAAAAATATACAGGCACTTTCAGTGAGAAATTAAGCCAGACAGAATATTAAAGCTCTGCCATATTACTAAAATAAAAATCTTCCTTAGAGAGTGCACTAAGGGATCTTTCAAAACCACAAATAGTCAAGATTTAACTCTCAGCCAAGTGCTTAATAATTTGAATGAAAAATCTCTTGTATCTCCTGTACACCTCGTGTACCATAACAAGACTGATTTATTTCTCCAGAGCTGTATATTGTAAGAAATTAATACTATAAAGTCCATAAATAAAATATAAGTAAAAACTCATTATAAAGAACTCTTGGGACATCATAGTTGTTTTGTTGTAATGGATTTTTTTTTCTTTCAATGAATGAATTGCTAATAGTTACTTTACTAGTCTTTATGTCCTAGAGACAAAACAGAACTGATGCTTAGTCTCTGGGGTAGTTAATTAGCAAGTAAAAAGAAGTGTATTGACCTCATAAGATAGGGAAAATAGATGGTATCTAACTTTTATACACCCTACCTTTCTCCTCCAGATTTATTTTGTTGAGTAGCCTGAGAATTTAAATGGGTTTGATTTAGTTAGCTTTGAAATGGGGAGAAGTGAGTTGAAGGATAATTGCTACTTGGTGATTCTGCTTTCCTTTTCCCACCTAAAGTGTAAACAGTTGTTTTGTTAAGATTGTTATGACGCAGAATTGGAGAAGATACATGTTGTTTAGGAAATTTATTGTGTAAATTTCAATCCAGTTTGTTTCCATGGACTATGTACAAAGCCTTGGGGATACCTTTGTTATACAGAACCCTTCTTTCTAGTGGTATCTATCACAATACCATTTTGATCTTACAAGATTAATTTATCTGTTGATTATTCTTTTTTAACACAGTGATAGCATGCAATGTTGATGTAAGAGAATAAGATGGCCAAAATAGTGCTGTGCATCTGGGCTGAATTGTGATGATTTTGGCCTCCATTAGAGTGGAGGAAGAGCTTCAGAATACATGGGCTCATTTCATGCATCCTCATGTCGAAATATCATCTCTGAAGCAGTTTTAAAACATTCACAAGTTCTCACCTTTCTGCTCAATCAACCAAAAAGTGTTTATCTGGTGACTTCTATGTTTTAGGCGCTTGGGACTCTGGGAATCCCGAGCATCTAGGGGAATGAAAAAAGATCTCTTGTATGAGGAATCACTTACTGTACTTGGAAAGGAAGTAGATGTCCCTAAAAATGGAGGGGAGGAAGGGATTGTGTAACAGGCCGAGGGGACAATCAGTCTGTGCACAGGACCGTTAAGTACCCTCTTTAGATGGGACGTAGAGCGCAGAAAAAGGAATGACATGGAATAAGCCTGGAAAGGTATGGCTCGAGCCCAATTTTGAAGAGCTCAGAAACCTCAAAAGTTAATTGAAGTTTTTCATAATTCTTATATATTTGTATTTATATGTATATTTGCCTTTTCTCTTTTCTTAATTTGAAAATTGGAGGATGCCGTGTCAAAATAATGGCATTCTCAGTCCACAGTTTTTAAGCTCAGCACTATCCTTTGTTACATCAGTATTAATAACTCCCTCTATCTAACCAGTAGGGATGGATGAATATGCCAAGTGCCATGTAATGCTGTCTATGGAGAATTGAGCTGGTTTATTATGCTAAGTACTCAATGAGCAATACTGCTCAAGGATGGTTCCTAGAATAAAGGTGATTATCTCACTTTGAAAGAAATGGCCACATTCTTGTTGATGTAGCTCATGAGAGCTGTTGATATTTTTAGTTGACAAAGTATCCATGATTTGGATGACTGCTTTTATAAAAAAAATTTTTTCGTTTTTTTTTTTTTTTTTTTTTTTTTTGGTGAGGCAGTGGGGTTAAATGACTTGCCCAGGGTCACACAGCTAGTGTCATGTGTCTGGTCTGAGACTGGATTTGAACTCAGGTCCTCCTGACTCCATGGCCGGTGCTCTATTCACTGCGCCACCTAGCTCCCCCTATAAAATTCTGTAATAGCATGAATTCTGTAGGTGAACTTGGATTGGACACTGAACAAGCAGTGTTTTACTACATTAATAGATATTTTCTCTCTTTTCCCTCTACTCAGGACTTATCTGGCTCCATTGATGACCTGCCCACAGGAACAGAAGCAACATTGAGTTCAGCAGTGAGTGCATCAGGCTCCACTAGCAGCCAAGGGGATCAGAGCAATCCTGCACAGTCGCCCTTCTCTCCTCATGCTTCCCCCCATCTTTCCAGTATCCCAGGGGGCCCATCACCTTCTCCTGTTGGCTCTCCTGTCGGGAGCAACCAGTCAAGATCGGGCCCAATTTCTCCTGCGAGTATTCCAGGTATTACTGATTTATTGTGATTTAACTTGGATAGCAAAGCTAGATCTGGTCTTAATGCCTTAGAACAATTAGATTCTCATCAATGAAATACTTGACAATAATCTATTTTGGGGATCAGAATGCCTTGGTGGTGTGACAGAGGACTTGTCGCCCAAATGTTGTAAATGCCCAGTTCCAAAGTATCTCTTAATGATTTTTTCAAAGGAACCCCCCTCAGTAATTGAGTTAAATGACTTCATTCTTTATTGTTCCTCAGTTTCCATGTTTGTTTGCTCTGCCAAAACTAAATAATCTTCTTTCTGTCTACATACGCCTTTACAGTGTTTCTGCTGAATCAGAAAACTATATCAGCAAATTCCACTAAGCTCTTTTGTCATAGAATGTTAACCAGTGGGTTTGTTTTTATGACTGTATCTCAGTATATAATGTTGTGTTATTTTCAAAAACCTTGTAAGTACATGCTTATAGTAGTATTAGTTCATTCATTGCAGCATATTTGAGAGCTCTTTTCCGATGTGTAGTGCTCCCCATCTTATACTTGTTAGAGTCTCTGCAGCTTTTTAGAAATACAGTTGTTTTACTATTCACCTTATGTACCTAACAACCAATTTTCCTTTATTAGGTACGTGGAACGAATTTTTTTTTTTTTATCAGAGAGTCAGCAAGCTTTTAGTAAACACTTACTCTTTGCCAAGCACTACGCTAAGCACTTAGGAGACAAAGAAAGTCAAAAACAAGGTCCCTGCCTTTTAGAAGCTCACATTTGAATGGTTGAGACAACATGGAAGTAACTATTTATACATATAGTATAAATGGAAGCTTCTTTTTGGTGTAATATATCATTATAGCAGCTATAAATTAGACATTTTCTTTATATGTATTACCTTGGTTAAAGTGATGGAGGTATATTCAATGGAACATGCTTGCTTCCTCTTCTGAAATTGACAGTGGTTTGGTTTTTTTTAATTTACTGATGGATGCTAACGAATAGGTCATAAGTCTCATTCTTTTTAATAGTTACATTTCTATACTGCTTTTCCTACATGACAGTATATATCTGAGTGGTGACCACTCTCTAATAATGATGTAGCTTCAAGGACGTTATCTAGGGTAAACTTTCTAGGTCCTTGAAGCCTGTCACCTAATTTCACTTGTTTATTTTCTACTCCATTGTGCCTCTCAAGGTGAGGCTAAGTTTCTTAGGATATTTCTTTTTTATGATTTTATGTTCCACAAGGTAAAAGTCTTGAAACGCTCAAAGCCAAAGTATTATACGGAAGAGTAACCTAAATGAAACTTTGGTTGGATAGCTATCTTAGTTGCTTAATTTTAAAAGTCCCATTTTCAGTCAATATATATAACCATTAATGTAATATATGTAAATACATACATCTTTATATAATACATATTTTTTCAAATCCTTTTTTAAAAATTCCTTTTATGCTTTTCTTTCATTGGTTATTGATTTATATAACATTAAATTGGACATCTAGAAAAAAAGTTCTCCAAGAACATTTTTTTTTTTTTTTTTTGACAAAAGATCTGACAGTTTTATCAGCTAAACACTAGGTAGGAAGATCCTTAGTTAACAAAGTTAATTTTCCTTAAGTCTAAGTGGTTTTTTTAAAGGAGGATAGTTAGTAAATAGCCAGTCCATTAATAAATAGCAAGTAGTCATCTTTTATTGTAGTAATAGAACTGGATGTGGGATCAGGAAACCAGGTATTTATAATTCCTAAATTGGAGTTCTGTTCTGAAAAGTTTATTTAATAGAAAGTCTCCTATCTTAGTCAATGCCATTTCAAAAATAGTGACAGCATTTCAGTCATCTATAACTTCCTCAGTGTGAGGATCACATCACTACCAAAAGAGGCTGCAGCCTTGCATGCCATAGCTTTGAAGATGGTCTTTCAGTGTTTCTTTGGCCAAAAATTCCATCACACTGGGCTGTAACCTTCTGACAGACCAGTCTCTCCAAAAAGTCTCCTGATTTTCCTAGGGTCACTTCCTTACCAGGATGAGGCATTTTGTGGCTGCTTTGAAGAGATTTCACTTCTTTGAATTGTGTTCTTTTGAAATGCAAGGCCATTGCTGATTCTTTATTTCTCCACAGCTCATGTTGTTCGAAGCTTGACATCTGTGTTGTGGCAGATATAAGCTCTGATTTGAAATTTTGTGAATGTAGGAAGTCAGGTAGGAAGTGATTCATTTCATTTTTTTTTTTTTGATGAAAAGCATAAAGAGTTTCAAGTAAATTCTTGAATTCTTAAATTCTCTGTGTTAGTGGGCTCAATGTATCATATTAAATTTTTTAAAAGCATAAAAAAATCCAAAGCATCTTAGATTCTGTGATTGGCAGCTATTATTGGTAGGTAAACTCTCTAGTTCTAGCTACCAAAGGACTTTTATTGGAAGTTAATGTATACTTTACATTTTTTAAAAATTTCTTTATATCAAAACTTGCTCTGTGTGCAGTGTCCAGCAGAGGTGAAAAAAATATTAAGTATTTTCCATATTGTTTACTTCTTTCCAACTTGAAAATAAGAGACCAAGATAGGACAGCAATTAAATTTCACATAGAAATTGTCTGGGAAAGGATATGACAAAGAAAAATAGGCAAGTTGGGAGAAAAAGCATTATAAATATTGAAAAAAAAATTTAAATCTTTGCCAATGCTTGGATATTTGACATTTGTATTAACTCACCCCTTTCTCAGTACTAGAAATCAGGTTGAAGCTGTATAGTAACCACCAACCTCAAACAATTATAGCTATAGAGGAAATCTCTGTTGCAGATATTTTAAGAATATGAATTACATTTGATCAATATTGGTAATATGGAGAAGCAATGAGGTATTATGGATAGAGTGCCAGTCTTGGAGTCTTTGGAGTCAGTAAAGCTCAGCTTCTGCCCTGACTGATAAACTAGTTAACTAGCTGACCTTGGGCCAACCACTTAATCTCTCAGTGCCCTCCCATACAACCCTTTCAGAGGCATTGCCAGACTCCACCAGTGGAAGGAGATTCCACCTACACATGGAGCTCCCTACACTGATAAAATCTCAGGTCCAAATGCCACCACCCAAAACTGAAGATATTCTTAGTACCTTCGCACTTCCCTTATCTCAGACCAGCCTCATTCCTATTCCGGTTCTATTTCTGTGTAGTTCCTGGTATCTTTTCTCTCTATCTTTCTCCCTGCTAGTTTACCCCAACAAACCTAAATGTTGGAATATGTGGAAATGAAATCTACCCTCTGAAATTCTTAAATCAGTCTGGTAAGACTAACTTACAAGTGTTTTTCTTCTTTCACTCCCACTTTCATATCTTATATCTTCATTGTTACATGCTAAAACAATAGGGTCATAATTCTTCATTAATAAAATGAAAATTATAACCTAGGGACTTATGGTTATTTAAGCATTTGTTTAGTTTTTCCCCTTTATTCTCTTTCCACTTTCTTTCTTCCTTTCTATTCCCTGTCCCTAGCACGTCCATCCACTCCCCGCTTCAATTTTGTTGTTTCTGACCTCACTTCTATCCCATTACCTCCTGCTATATCTTGCTACAGCCTCTCCATGTGACACAGATTGGCTCTTTCAATCATTGTCTCTCCAGCAAGTCATTGTAAGATGAGCAGCTGTTATGTAGCTGATAGCCGTGATGAGGAAAAGCCAAAATATTGGAGGGGGTTCTTGCTGGGAAGACTGTTTGAATAAAGGTGTTGCTTTCCCAGGGTTCGTTGGAAAAGAACCATCATTTTCTCCATCTCTGCTCTGGGTAAATGAAATTGACGACTAATGAGAAACATCACAAAGATGGATAAACCATCTATAATAAAGCATCCCAAATGGCTGATTCTGTTCAGTGCCTGTTTAAACTGTTTCTCCACCCACTGCAAATTTGCCCTCCTGTGTTGCCTTCTGACAAACATTTGAAGTTTCATGGGAATTGCTACCATGATGCACTTGCATAGTATTGGCACTGGCATATCCCTAACTCAGTGGGGCATTTCCTTCCTGCATTCCTTTTGAAAAGCAGGATGGAGATTTTCTATGGTAAGTAGCCACATGGATCAGCTGCCTTTGTGTGCACATTCCTGGGTTCCAGCATTGTAGCCATCTATCGTTGGAGGAGGTGGAGAAATCTGCTTCTGATGTTTAATTTACACATGTATTTAAGAACAGAAATACGTGTGCTTCACAGTGCCATGTGGTGGCAAATTCTTGCATTCACTTGTCCCCCCCTCCACAATCTCTTAATCCTTCTCCTTCATATTGGTCAAGTTCCATGTGGGAACCCCCCCCCCCATTTTTTATTAGAGTTGTAGTCAAAGAAAACGTGCTTAATTAAATTAAGCCACCCATGCCTAATGCAGTCATTTCTGCAACTTGTGGCTGCCAAACATCGGTTTCTTTGTAAGAAATTAATTTCTTTTCTTCCTGAACTTTTTGCTGCTTCTCCTGTTGCAGCCCGATCTCTTTGATTGTTTTTTGTTAAGGAGCAGAAGCCATGGCTGCCTTTTATTTGGTGTGGGTCTTACCCTGTGCCTCATTCTACCTATCACCCTCGTAGAAGCTGACACAGCACATCAAAATGCACTGCTGTTGCCAGAAGATTTAGTGGATGTTAATTTCACTTGTCTTGCCTCCTGTGCCAACTGTTCCAGTTTACTAACAAAGCAAAAATGTAAATAAGCCCAACAATTTTTTTTATTTTCATTTTATTGGCCAAAGGCTTTTGTCAGCTTTTTTCTCCTGTGCCATGTAAGCAGCAACAGTGTTTAAATATTAAGAAAGGTGAGGGTACTGTGGGAGATTGCTGATGGGCCGGGCAAGTATTAACCCATCAGTATCCAATAGAATTTTTTGGAGGTTGTCCCACCATTTTTCTTTTTAAAATCTAAGGGAATTTTAAACTACTCTTGATAATTCATCAGGTATGTTAGAAATAGGAAGTAACGACATCATGGACTTTCCAATATTTCACTCCCTTGCCTCT